GATTGAATTTATTCTTCAATGAATCGTGATCATTGATTCACTTCTTAAGGGTGTTGGAATGCATGCTTTTAGAACATATTCTAAACTTACTACGCCATTTTGAAAAATAAAGTGTATATAATTAATTGATTTGAATCATAATTATTCATTATTATCTTGGTAAGTAAATTTATAAGGCTCCTGTACTAGTTAATAGTTCGTTAATTATGTATATAAAGTGTTGGATGGATTTTTCGGCGCTAATAAAATGTAATAATTTTTTGAACGAACCGAGCGTATGTTTGGATAACACCCGAGCGTACGCTAAGGAAACTACTCGAGCGTACGTTAAGGAAACCACTCAAGCGTATGTTAGAGAAACCACGCGAGTGTACGCTAGGATAACTATCCGAGCATAAGCTCAGGTAGGAAAGAAGTTAGAAGATTAAGAGTTATCAAGCATCAATGTCAAGTAACGGTCGACGATTAAAGGCATTTAATGACTCAAGTTTAATTTGTTTATTAATTGTTTGTAACACTCAAAAAAGGTGAATAGTCTAATTGTATTGAAGAGAGAATAAACTCTCGAATTAATGAGAGGAATTAAACCCCCAATTCCTAATGTACTATAAATTCTTTCGGTTTGAGAGGAAAAGATACGCCCTAATTATTGAATACAATTGTCTTGTGATTGTTTTCAGTTTGTTCTTGTTACTTTTTCTGAAGTTCTTTATATTCTTCGAGTGTTCTTTCAATTTTTTTAGATAATTTTCTTATTCAATCTGAATTATTAGTCTAGAGACGTTAGATAAGTATTGAATGAAATTTTGTTCCAACATAAAGTGTTATCATATTATTTATAAAAAAAATGTTATATATATATTTTTTTTTGAAAAAGTGTTATCTATATCTATCACTACCAATCTTGTGAGTGAGATGGGTTTCTCACACGCTTCATGTGAAAGTTTCGAATGAATTTTCTTTTTCTTCCTTTTCTTTTATTGTTTTACTTTTACTCATTCCTCCCTTCTTTTTCATTCTTATCTTTTATTCCCTTACCATACAATTTTTTTTTTATTTTTTATTTTTTTTCAATATGTTGCCCTGTAAATATTTTTTCTCTAACATCTCTGTTAAAATAATTCATTTTTATATACGTTTCCCTATTTACACTTATACTAGTGTAGAGGACGTGCTCTGCACGTGTTGTGATGTGTGAGTCACCAGAGCAGTCTATTCTAGAAAATCATTTTGATTTTAAACACACAATAGTTGAAGAGATTAAAAAAAAAGTAAATAGATGTATAATTTTCAATGAAGCATCATTTCAAAATTAGAAGAAAAAAATAGATGTACTAAAATGTGTATTTCAATCACAATATGTGTTTTTGTTGAATGTTATTATTTTACAAATAAAATCGAATATACTTAAAGAAATATTTTGATATGGACAAATCAAATAGAAAATGAATTAGAGTGTACATATGGAAAAGAAAAAAAATGTTTAAATAAGAGCATATATGAGAATAATTATTTTAATACTGGTTATTTTTAAATATAAAACATATTTAAAAACAAATCAAATAAAAAACAAATTAGGATGCTTGTATGAGAAGGAGAAAAATGTTTGATCAAGGGTATGTTCAAAATATTTCAATGGAGTAAAAAAAACATACAAAATTAGTCAAACAAATGTAATCTAATACAAAATAAGAAAAGCAAAAAAAAAAAAAAAAAAAAAAAGGGGAAACACGACCCCTCACGTGTGGGAGATTTAAGACAAATCAAATTGAAAATGAATTAGGGTGTGCATATGGAAAAGTAAAAGAATGTTTAAATAACAGCATATATGAGAATAATTATTAATATATTTGAAAAAAAATCAGGGTACACGTATAAGAAGGAGAATAATGTTTGATTAAGGTATGTTCGAGAAAAAAAATTTCAATCAAGCAAAAAAACAAAAAATTAATCAAACAAATGTAAATCTAACACACAAAAATAAGAAAAGTAAAAAAATAAAAAATAAAAAAAAAATAAAGAGGAGGGGAACGAAACGACCCCCTTACATGAGGAAGAGATATATTTTCGGGTTACGGCTTTTATAATAGGTAGATATGTTGAATCTCTCATGGACAAAACTTATCGTCTACGATTCATTTTTATTTATATTTTTTTTTCTTTCTTTACTTCATCCATTACTTTTTCCATTGTTTCTTATTTTCCGTACTATACATTATTTTTTTTAAATGTCACTTCTGTAAATTTTTTTCTTTGATTGCTCCATTAAAATAATTTCTTATAATTTCTTCTCATATATATTCTTATCTAATTTATTTTTATGAAACGACCCTTTTTTTTTTTTTTTTTTTCATTCCTACTTTTCCTTCTCATCTTTTCTTTTCCTACTATACAATATTTTTTTTTTCTTTCAGTATGTTGCCCTCCTAATTTTTTTTTTTCTAATATCTATGTTGAAACAATTTTTTCTCTTACATATATCTCTATCTACACTTCGTGGCAGAGCCATTAACTTTTTCAGAGGGGGGGCTGGTGAAATCAAAATTTTAAACTAAAATAATAGTAAAATTATTATTTATTTTTAAGTCCTAATAAATTAATTTTATAAATAAGTTTAATTTCTCTTTTTAAGGCTTACAATCGAAAAATTATGAATTTATGTAACAGTATCATTGATTATTGATTTATTTAGAAATTTAGGTGTGAAGTATAAAAAATTCAAAAGTCATATGAGAAATTCAAAAGTTAAACTTTGAGGTATAATTGAGAAATTTTTAAACATTTCGTATAAATGTTATAAATAGAAAAATTCAGGGGGGAGACATAAGGAAAAAATAAAAAATAAAAATTTAGTTAGGGTAATATTAAAGGGGCCACCTTGGGTAGTAGAGGCGGCTTCTCCGACTTGGTCTAAGGTGGTTCTGCCACTGGCTACACTTATATATACTGCATGGATTCTCCTTTATGGACAACTTTTTATTTACATCCCTTTTTTCTTGCTTTTCTCAATCCTCTTATTTTTTCATTGTCACTTTTTTTTTTACGCATTATACATTTTTTCCCTTTTTTTAACTGCGTCTCTCATAAATATTTTTTCTCTTGCTCTATTGAAATAATTGCTTCTCATATGTATTCTTATCTTAACTTTATTTTTTTTTTTCATGAAACGATCCTCTCAAATACATTTTTTTTCTTTCACTCCCACTAACGAAAAGTTTCATTAGTGGTTTTTTTTGTGGCTTTTTTTTCCTCTCTCCCTTTTTATCTCCTCTTTTTTTCCATTCTCATCTCTTTTACCTAATTATACATTCTTTTTTTCTTTCTTCAAATTGACCCTCATAAATATATATTTTTTCTCTAAATGCTTGTCAAAATAATTTATTCTCGTACATATCTTTATCTAAAATTTTTAAGATCTTTTCCCCCACTGATGAAATGTTTTGTCCCGTACTTTTTTTTTCTCGTCCTTCGTGTTTTTTAATTTACCTTTTAGGGTCCTTCATTTTTGTTTTGTTTTTTTTCACATTTTTACTCTTTTTTATTTGTTGCCTCCTAATATTTTACAGAATAATATTACATGGTGCATATGAAAAAATATATTTAAGAGAGTTACGAGAAAAATGTTTAGGTAATTATATATTTATTTAAATATATATATATAAACATTGTTTTTAAAACAATTTTTTTTTATCATTTATCAGCAAAATATAAATAATGCTATTAATTTTTTTTTCTTTTACAGAATCTTGCACCCATATGCAAACTAATATATATACAAAAGATATAATTATTCTTATTCGAAATACCTTGTTGTCACATGTGAGATTTGTTTGGAGTACTTCAAGGATCAGCTATAAGAATGACGACTTATGGATGGGTTTGCGGGTCAGTGTGGGGAGGGCGGATGCCATCCCAATGCAATTTTGATCATACACGTGATCAAATGTACAATTTACGTTGCTATGTTTGTTTCACATATTTGAATCACAAGTTTAAACTTAAATTTAAATTTTTTTTGTGAGAAAAAAATATTATAATAAGAAGGATTAAATTGTGTTCCAAACTGTGAAATAAACCTAACATATTTTTGCAATGGAACTAGTACACTGTTTTGCCTGCGCAAAGAAAATAGACCTGTTTAAGAAATGGTTATTGGTAGATGTGCAAAACCATATGAAAAGATTGTCTTTGGAATTATTCCATGAGTGGTATCCCGTTTGTCACCTTGGCATTAGTGGCAGTTGTACAGTCTAATAGACTGCGTAAAGGATCTTTTGAGGGCAATTGATGGAGGAAATAATTTTCAGCTAAAAATTTTTTTTTATAGGATTAAAAAAAATGAATTATTGATAATTTTTTTAATTGTTAAATTTGTATTAAAAACTATTTATTATATATATATATATTTTAATTTAAAATGATTTTAACCTAAACACAAAGTTTAGAAACTGAGCAAGACTGGCTTACTTGTAAAACTCCGGAAAAAAAAAAAAATTTGGAGGAGGAAAAAGTAATGACACAGAACTGGGAGGAGCCATTGCGAACAACTGTTGACACGTCATATTGCACAGCAGTCGTAGGATCACCGCAGATAATACAAACGTAACAAACCTAGAGGAAGTAAGGTAAGAGACTAGAAAATGATAAACGAGTGTAAAAGAGGAGGAAAAAAAAGAAAGAAAGAAAGGAGAACGTTAGGGCAGCATTTGTAAAAGCAATAATAACCTCAAACGACATGAACCTGATTAAGCAATATCAATCTAACAACATATATATATATATATATATATATAACGTGAATGAATTGGTAAGGCATAAAGAATCTAAAAAATGATTAGTTGTAATAAGCCATAAATATATCAATCTTATTCACTACAATGTATTGAAAACAAATACAACCAATTCTTTCTTTTTCTTTTTTCAAAATAAAAATTACAAAAGATACATACAAAAAAAAAAAAAAAAAAAAAAAAAAAAAAAAAAAAAAAAAAATAAAAAGAACAAGAAAAAACAATTCTCAGAATACATGAACACATTGAATACAATTCACAAGACAACTATACCATGCAAAAGGGATTTTACCTGTTTATCCATTACCCTATGATACAATATTGTCAAAATGGACAAAATTACACACGCTCCCTCTGTTTGGCGCCAACACCCAAAGGCCTTATTCTGCAGGGAGCAAAAAAGCTAAATTTCATGGAAGAGGAGTCTCAGTTCACAACAGAGGTCTTGCTCTTCCTTCCAAACAAAAGCAGCTTTCGAAATCCTTTCGTCGCTTTCGGAGAGTTCTGGTCATCGGCGTTCCATTTCTTCCTCAAGTGGGGCGATTCCGCCATTGTCTCGGTGCTTGGTGGCGGTGTTGTTACTTCAATCTCCGAGATCTCAGGTGATGCCGGTGAGTCTTCAATCGTTGAATCATTCTCCTCCACGATGTTCACACCAGAAATAACGGAGGAACTCTCAACAATCTGTTCTGTTTTCTCTTCTTTTAGAATTGGAGATTCATTTTGCAATCCGGTCTTCGAATTTGATATTATCTGATCTTGAATAGGCTCAGCCGAACTTATATCCAATGTAGCATTCTCTTGTTTTTTCTCAATTACAGAAGAAAAAGCCTGCAATTCCTTGACATCTTCCGCATCGCGATCATCGGTATTGCTAGGTTGAGTCACTGCAGAACTCACAGGCTGTGTCTCTTTGACTTCTATCAAATCTTTTTCATTGACACTAGATTGAGAAGAAAGTACCTGGTTTAGCTTTTTGGGGCTAATTTCTGAAGGCTTGGCTTTGTTCGGGCTCAGTTTCTTATTCACGACACCATTAGTCTTCAGTGATGTGGTTGTTGAAGCTACACCGTTCGCCTTCGCAGGTGGTTGCTTCTTTGGCAAGCTATTGGATTGACTCGTTGATGCCTTTGGAGTGGTGGTCCGTGCGGCTGCAAGGCGTTCAATGGTGGAACTGCGAAGAACTGGCTTTGGTTTTGTGGTTGGTTGAGCATTTTCGCTCTTGAGGGAAGTCTTGCCAGTTTTGCTTTCTGCTGAGAGCCTTCTTGATGTTGCTGTGGTGACTCCTTTGGAAGCACTCCTTTCGGCAATTCTCTTCTGGCGCTGAAGTTGTAATTCCTCCAACTTCCTCCTGTTTTCTTCTTCCTATTTTGACACAAAAATTGGAGAAGTGAATAAATTATATTAAGCTAATATCGACATTTGCAGTGATAATTTAGTTTTACAACAAGGCACTTGTTTTGATAGATATTTTCATTTCTGGAGGTTAGACTGTTTAATATGAAGAAGAGAAAAAAAAAAAAAAACAAAAAAAAAAAGGAGGGAGTGGGAGGTGCAAAACCTAAGTGAAGGAAACAGAGAGAGTGGACTTTCTCTTATGGTCTTGGTATAGGAGGAAAGAATGAAACAAAAATCACATCTCCTAATATGTTTGAATTATAAAGAATAAAACTTTAGGTCTAATTTTGAGAATTCCAATTTTTTTTTTTTTGGTAGGGTATGAAACACTACTGGTAGTGGTAGGACATAGTTTTAACCGTAAGAATTTCATCAAGTTCCATTAAACTTTTATATATATTGATATAATATGACTGTTAAAACTATATGTCATACCGGTAATGTAATTTCTCACCCAATCTATTTCCTCCCACCAAATAATCATAAATTCCGAATTTCGCCCACTAATTCTCCACTAATAGTTAGTTAAATACCTTTTCCAATTTGCTCTTCGGACCAGTGGTTCTGCTTCCTGGAGCTGTTCTCTTAGTCCTTGACATGATATCAGGTTTGCCCTTCCCTGGAACTCCATTAGTTTTAGCAGTTTTTGCCTTGGGATTAGGAGGCTGATTAGCATCAACAGACTCTGTTGTTTCTGTGTCAATGGCCTTCTTATTAGCTTCAGTTGTTGAAATGGTTTGATAATCCATTTCTGGAGTCCATGCTTCCATGGCTTGTTCCACACCCGAAACTCTATCAAGCACCATGTAGAGGTCATCTGGCTCATGGGTACTAAAAGCTTCAGGCTTGTCTTGGGAGATTTCTTGCCTGCCATTTTTGTATTGAGCATCTCCAACAATTTCAGGAACGACGCTTATGTCAGTCCTCAATAGGGAATCAGAATGATCTGCAATGAATCGATCTTGAACCATAAAGGAATCATCGACCACAACATCTCTCTTGTTTTTGTCAGTTTGGAAGGATGATGATGACGAATAAACTCCGTCGAATAAGTTGGGATCTTTGCTCTGGTCCAAATCTGCCGACACATCTGGTTGGTTGCCAAGGAACCATTCCCCATCTTTTGGACATTTGGTTTTGGTGGATTCACCAACACAATCGGGTAGAGTTGCATGGGAATTGTTACCTGATTCTTCAATTCTCTGAGAAAATAATAGTTCCTCATCTGGACTCCGCTGCTTCTTGATAATCGGACCAGCATTGTCGCTACTCTCGAAGAAAACCCGAGTTTTGCTCTCATTCCCAGTCTCCCTTCCTGTCACAACAAAATCATCACTTGAAATTGCACGCTGCTTTGCGATCTTCTCTTGCTCAAAACTAATTGCGGATGGTTTTCCTTCCTCAGAAAAGTAATCCTGCACTGGGCACGGTTCTTCATCAAAAGTACTCGAATCTTTGTCTCTCAGCAGTAGATTTTGGAAAGCATCCCAGTTAGCATTTTTCTTTTCCAATTTGGAATTTTCAACACTGGCATCATTAGTTTCCAGATCAGTATCACCATTTGAATACTTAACACCACCTTGTTTCTCTTGTTTCTTGTGACGACGCGAGGAAGGCTTGTGTCTCTTCTCCAAAGACTCAACAGCTTCCTCAATCTGCTGTTTGATCGAATCCCCGTCGATGAGTTCATCCTCGTCGGATGAAGTCTCCTCTGAGCCACTTTCTACTTCTCCATCCTTCTTAGAGCTTATGTAGTTGATGTTTCGAATAACAACCTTTCTTGAGGACTTTTTCCCGTGCTTTTTCTTCCGCGATTGCTCTTTAGAAGAGTGCTTCTTTCCATGCCGTGTCTGATCATCTGATTCACTCTCATAACTCGACTCACTTTCCTCATTGGATTCATCTTGATCTGAAGAATGTTTCTTTTTACTCCTGTGAGACTTATTTCTCCGACTTTCTCTATCAACATGAGGACCGGAGTCTTCCATATGAGGAGGCCATTTCATATTCCCTGGAAAGTAGGGAGGAACCTGCATACCAGGGGGAAACATGTAACCCTGATACGGATGGAAAACAGGACCTTGAAAGTTGTGCATGTACTGAGGAAGATGGTTTGGCCATGAGGGCGGAGCTTGAGCTTTCCCATCCATTGGTGATGCCTGAGGTGGCGTTGGGGTGCCATTATCTGCAAATGTTTAACACAAACGATGAGTCTATACTGCACAGAAGAGGCTGTGTCTCTTAAAATACTCACAGTACAATTATGATAATAGTTAAATGAGGGACGGAGTCTACTATTCTCTCCAGGAAGATGGCAAGGCAAAACCTAGTATTCGGATTTTCTCGTAAAAGAGTAAAAGAGAAGGATTCCTAACTGGTCTTACAGAATTGTATATAAGTTTGAAAGCATACCTTGGCTCGCATCCAAACTACCGCGACTTGTAGTTGAGTCAGAAATTGATGCATCCAAGGCACCATTTGGTTTTCCATTTTGGTTTATGTTTATCATCAAAGTATGAGTAGGGTCAGTATCTTCTCCAGCAAGTATGATACCAGACGATTCCAGATAAGGCATGACTGGCTGAGGGCATGCCTGCATTGCCGCTAATTCATCCATCCAAAGCCTGTCTTCGTTCTTCTGTTTGCATAGTTCTATGAAATCTATGCATGCTTCCCTGAAAAAAGGCAGAAATACAATTTGACCTTTATCAAAGATAAATACCTCATGATCACCCCAAAAACAGGGGAAAAAAAGGGAAAAAAAAGTTTTGCAATGTAAAAAATGAGAAACTTGGGGTAATCTGCAAGTGATTGTCATTTTACATTCAATGCAAAGACCCTTTATATGAAAACCATGTAGGGTATTTTTGCACATTTGTCCCCTGAACCTTTCGGGATTTTGCAACTTATCCTACAAACTTTTAATTTTAGCAATTTACCCTCCAACTTGCTAAGCTGTTCTAATGTGCCCCATTTTGCTAATGGTTGTTTTAAATTGGTGACTAAAAGCACGTTCGCGCAGGAAGTCCAAAATCCCAAACTCTCTCAATCCCTCAAATCCCACCAAAGTTCAGAGCAAAATTGGTAATTGGGCCACATTGCAGCAATTCAGCAAGTTAGAGGAGTAAACATCAAAATTAAAAGTTCTGGAGGCAAGCTGCCAAAGTCAGAAAAATTGGGCAAAGTGCCAAAAACCCAATTATATATGGTATGCCTTTCATATGCAGCAATCAGAAAAAGCAATATTTTCCAGAGATATCTCAACCTTAATCTCTAGACATACAAAATTACATCCTTCGCTAGAGTTATTTAGCAACATATTCTTTTGCTAACCTTAAACGTGAAGCTCCAAAAGCATCAGCGAAATATATGAGATCATCTAAGTAGTCGGGTTCAAATCCAGCAACCAAAGCACGAGCATAAGCCATTGCTTGCTCTTTGCAGAGCACAGCTTTCCGAGTTTCCAGAACGCGCTGAAGACGGATCCTGTTCATAACCCGCAGCTGAACAATCAATGAACGATAAATACAGAAACCTTTGCAACCAACCAAATCACATTAGAGTCCAGTAAAACTTAGATGACAGTAGGATAGATTTACTTAGAGTTCTCCTCCGGTGCAGCATCCGCTGTCCCATTGAATTCACCTTTTGACTGAATATCACAACACAGTTAATGAAGGTCCGGATTATAAAATGAACTTTAGAAGAAACATCATGTTACAGTCAATGTGACAATAATTTGTAACACTTGACCAACCTTGGACGCAGCTGTTGCCTTGTTGAAATTCCCATCAGCAGCTGAAACATTTTATTTCACAAATTAGGTGCTGAGAAAGCAACTAGATCTGCTCACAGGATAATAGAAATTCTACATTTCTCACAGTTAAAATCTGCTTCTACCGACAGCTGATTTGTCAATAATTAAAATATTTTAAAAAATAATAGACAAAAGGGATAAGGACAAGAAGTACAAGGGATCTGGGAGGGAAACCGAGTCCAAAAAAAAAAAAAAAAAAAAAAAAAAAAAAAAAAAAAAAAAAAGAAAAGAGACAAGTAAGAGGGATTCAACAAAAGCATTACCTTCAGCCTGTGTCACCCCATTACTGTTGGTCAATTCACTCGTTTGACTTTGAATTGAATTCTCAATCTGCACAATCTCTTTCTCCAAAGTAACAAATCTCTCGAGAACTTCCGGTGTACTAACAAATCTCACAAACCTGTGATCCAGTAACCCAATTGAACAGTTACAGTTAAGATATCACCAATGACAAAAAAACCATTTCATCTCATAAATCAAATCTCAAAACACAAAATCCAAAACAGACTAACTAAAGGAAAAGCTTTCTAGTTCAGAAGAAAACCACCTTTATTTATTATTATTATGATTGTTTTTTTGTTTTTTTTTTGTTTTCTCTTTTAATGTCATAACATGGTGATGTCAAATTACCTTTGAAGAGTGGATTTGGTGAACCAATGAGAGGAATCTGAGGCGGAGGGACGAAGAGTAATGGAATATCCTCCTTTGGAAATCTGGTCTTTTGCCGATTTGAGGTGAGCCAGAAACGGCTCAAGAAGCCCCGAGGCCAATTTCTCGTTTCCACCATTAACAGCGAAGATCACCAAGTCACATCTTCAAAAACCAAAATGAGCCAAAAATTCCCATTACAAAAACTCAATTTTAGAAGAAACCCAGATCGAATAACAGCCTAAATTAGCAATATATATACACACATACATATATACATATATATACCTTGTTCTAGTGGGAGTGAGTTGGAACAAAGCGTGATCAAGGCGAGTTCTTGGGTCCATTGTCTCTGTGTAAAGCTTATGAGAGAAAGATAAGAGAGAGATTCACAGATTCAGAATTCCTTCATGATCTAAAGCTCAATTCAAGCATAGTTTTTGGAGCTTTTACTCTGAGTTTTGTTTACATGGAACAAAATGTGGGAGAGAGAGAGAGAGAGAGAGAGAGGAGAGAGAGTGCCAGCAAGAGGTGATGAAGCTAAAGTCTGATAAGCACATGGGATAAGTTGGCTCCTTTTTTTTTAGATCGTTTATGGAAGTGGGTCCCTCCTGAAAAGTAAGGAAGAAAATGCCGACAAGGTAACACAAATAGCAGTACTTGATTTGTTCTGTAACTCTTCCTCCCACCTCTCTCCCACCCGCTCCTCCTGATATTTCTTTTTTGTATTTCGCATATTTGTCTCCCAAAACTTTTCAAGATTCGAAAACTTACCCTTTACTTTTTACAATTTATTATTTTTTTTATAAGTTTGCGGTAAATTATACGGTGGAGCTCTTAAAATATTTCGTTAGATTAAATTTTTAATAATTAAATTTACACAAATTTATATTAAAAATATACAATGCGTCTCATTAATTATTTTCTCTGTAAATTTAACCGTTAAAAACATCATTTAACAATAAAAAATAAAGACTCCACCGGTAGAATTTTTTTAGGATTTCACGGTAAAAGCTGCCTTACCAAACTGTAGTAACGTGGCCTATTTTATTCATGGTTGTGTTAAATTAATGAAGCAAAAGTACCTCCGACCCGAAATTCAAAAATATCAATTCAAGCCCTAACAAAAATCTTTCAATATTTTGGTTCTCAATCCTTTACAACCGACAAAAATTCAAGATAAAATTACTAAAGTGGCCAAATTGCAATAACTTAACAATTAGAAGGACGTATTACAAAATTTAAAAGTTTAAAGTTTAGTTATCAAATTTCCAAGAAAAAAATTACCCTTAAAAAAAATTAGGGGACAAAAGTGCCCAAAATTTTTTTTTTTCCTTTCACACCCCAAAAAGATTTGATTGAATATATATATGGATTTTTCTTACCGTGGTAGGTTTTTTTGACAGATAGATAGTAGAGATGACGATCAGGAATGAGTGGAGCAGAAAAATTGGGTTGTAGTTGAGAAGTCGTTCCCTTTTTTTTCTTTCCTCCAAAGCTTTGTTGTCAAAAGTGGCAGAACTGAGTAATGTGTGAATGAGTAACAACAATCCTGTGAATTTTCATAAAGAAAAAAAAAAAAAAACCAAAAAAGAACAACAATCCTGTGAATAACTGCTACTATTGAGTATTTATTCATCAATTTTTAATAAAGTATTACAAGTTGCAATTATAGTCGTTGGGACACAAATTATGACATATATATATATATATTTTAAGATCTTTTTTTACTGGTTTAGAAAAATCAGTAATATTGTTCAACCAAAAAAGAAAAAAAAGTAATATTTTTGTATTTCTCAGTGAGTAATTTGACAACGGCGCTATATTTTTGTATTCAAAACAAGTTAATTAGTAACTCTTTCAAAAAAAAAAAAAAAGATAGTAGCTGTATTCGAACGAACAAAGTGTATTGATTACGGTGGATGACTTTTTAAAAGCCTATTACTGTCCTTGATTGATTTTGATAATCATTAATTAATCTCGTAGTTATTGATTAATTTATCATTAGTATACAAATTTATGTTTACTGTACTGTAGGTATCAGTTTTCAATCACGTAAGTTCTTTAACTTTAAGAAATACATTTTCTTCTCAATTTAACAAAAATAACTAGGGACATCTAAAGATTATTTTTGCATATAATAATAACGTAATATGTAATAGAAGAAACTTAGTCGTAATAATAATAATAATAATAATAATAACGTAATAACATTAAAAACAATAGTAATAATAAAAATAGCTTTAACTAGTTGTAATATATCTTTATGATTTTTCTTTATCAAATATCCTGCAACTCTCAACTCAAAGATTGTCACTTTACAAAATTTTAATTTTAATGTGATTACCAACGTTACGTTTCAAGAAAGAGGCGGGTCCTCTCCTGTGTGTGTCACAAGCAGTAACATACATACATATACATATATATATATGTATGTATATACATATACATATACACACATATATATGTATATATATAGTATTCACATGATCAGGTCTGTGGGTATATGTTTGGAGTGAGCGAAAAGCTTTGGCCTCAATTTGCCGTTTGCTTTGCTGTCACAACCGTTCAACTGTCGGAAGAGTGAATGAGTGACAAAAGAATAATAATAAGCCTCCAAAGCGCCAACCGCAAAAGAGGTGCCCTTTCTATTCCATTCCTCATTCCACCACATCCTGCTATATTTATTACTGTCCAACATCTATCCATCTTATATTTTTTTTAACTTTTTATTTTTAAGAATTTTTGAGGTACGATTTGTACTTTTTAACAACCACTAAGTTTTACAATTTTTTTCGTCGCGCATGATAAATTGTTAACTAGAAAACTCACAGATCATACTTATTGAAATCTTAATTTAAAGGTGAAAATAATAACTTATACTGACAGTTAAAAATGGCTATTTTTTTTTACTGTAAAAGTTTTTTTTTTTTTTTTTTTTTTTTTTTTTTTTTTTTTTTATTTTAGTTTTCCTCTTTATTTATTTGGGATCAGTCTATTCTGCAGACAATTGGATAACCTCATTCACCAATCTAGTCCACATTTGTTTTTGGGAAAACGAAAGGATGGAACAGGGAGAAAAAAAAAAAAGAAAAAGAAAAAAGCAATAGAAACAGAAGAACTGCTGGTACTGTGGCAAGTACTCTTGGGAAGTGTACCTTAAATTTAGGACGCGTTTGTGTGTGACTGTGTGTGCAGCTTTAATTGCCGATGTGTGTTTTTGTGTGGTAAAAGGGGAATTTAAGCAGGTTGGAGATGTTTTATTGCATTTTTTGGGAATGTGCGAAGCAGAACCCTGATCTAGTCCACTGATGTGTCGCATTTTCAGATTTTGTTAAATTTTTGTTACAAAAGTGGCACCCTTATACACACACACACACACACACACACACATACTAATTCCTTTGTGCATTTTTTATACATAAATGTTTAATTTTTAAAATTTTAGTTTCATTTCTTAATTTGATAATTCTCAAGAAGTTCAGTAAAATTATGAAATAAAATTAAAAAGAAGACATTACTTGAAAAATAATATTTCAAAAGATTGAGAAAAAGAACATAAGATTTAGGGCTAAAAAAGTTTAAAAGAAAAAATAGTAAGAATAATAATAAGAAATAGACTTAAACAGGTTATTTTTGAGAAAATTTATTTTTTGAGAAAATTTATTTTTTTAGAAGAAGAGAAAAATTATTTTTAGGGTTATAAAAAAAATTATAAAAATCACATTTGATAGAAAGGATAATATTCAAATAAAATAACTTTTATAGGAACAAATTAAATTAAACCGGGTTTTAATGAAATACACTCGAAAAATAAAATATCATTTTAAAAAATAAAAACAACAAACCAAAAACATGATTGTCTCTAAAAAAAAAAAAAAACATGATTGTCTTAGACATGCTTTTAACGGGGTAAAAAAAAAAAAAAAAAAAAACTCTATACAACTAAATAAATAGTGGCATCCTACAAGATTTTAAGAAAAAAGTAAGAAAGTGTTAAGAAAAAGTCACAAAACACTAAAAGACAAAATACTTTGAACTAAGTTTTTGAATAATAGCAAAAGGAAACTCTCACTTTTAATATAGTAATATATGTATATATGTATATATATATATATATATATATCACATGGCTGAAAATACCAATGCAAGTTCTACATGCAAAATTTCATGGTCAACTAAAGTAATGAGGTGACAAAACAATGATGAGAAGATAATGTGAAGAAAAGAAGTAAGGGTGCGTTTATTAACACATTTTACATTTTACACGTACATTTTAAATTTCTTTTTAGTGTATTTATTACACCCTTCTTAAAATTTGGAAAAAACATCTCCGTAAGTAAATTTCTTTTTTCACCCACACCAACCAAACTCTTATTTTTTTTTTCGTTCTTTTTAGGTTTTTTTCCCCCATATTAAGCGAAGACACAAGCAAAAAGGGAAAAGAACTCCGAAATAAGGAGCAGCTAAACAGATCCAAAAAAAAAAAAAAAAATAGCAATAATAGTTGCTCAGTATAAGAACAACAACAATGATATACAATGTATATACCATAATTGCAAATAATGAAGGCATTAATTTCGTATGCGAAATAACAAAAATTACATGAAAATAATAATTTTAAAGAAAAAAAACCATGTCCTCTTTTGTTGAGAGATGCTTTTACGTTGGAACTAGCTAATTCCTATTTCTTTGAAAAAAAGTAGGGAACAATAATTTTAGAAAGGATTTCTTTTTCTTGTTTAAGATGGTACGTATAATAAATTTGTTTGAAATACTTTTATCCTTAAACGTAATAATAAAAAAAGAGATGTCAGTAGACGAACCAAAAACAAAATTATAATTCCGCCAAGAAAAGAAGCAATTATAAATTCATTTAAGATCTCATTAAAATAGAAAAACAAAATTAAATCATATTTAAAAGTTTTAAAGGTTTTATTGTTATGTTTTTGTTTTTTACGGCTACTGGTATAACTAAAGGGGAAAAATATACTTATATGTATGTTTTTGCTTTAAAAAATTGATGAAAGACTACCAAACAAGAATAAAACTTCACGAACATGATTTTTTTTTTATTTTTTATTTTTTATTTTTTACATTTATTCAAAAACAATATCAAAGAAGAAAACCCACCAACGCCGACAAGAATACCGCCACTGCCGCTCCACCACGGCGTCAGAATTTGTTGCTACTGGTCAGGGTAGGTTCCTCGTCACCTTTTGAGTCGACGACCGTAAATGCGATCTCCAACGACGCGGAGGCGGTAGCTCCGGCCACCTCATACGGTGGCCCTCTGTGGAAATCGGATAGAAAAAATGGATGGTTTTATTTTATTTATTTATTTTTTTGTCTCATTGCTCTGGGTCCATAGGAATCGGAAGCACTTTGATTAGAGGTTGGGCGGTTGAGATATCGCGATCGGAAGTTATATTGCTAAACTTTCGCCAGCGATTACGGCGGTTTTTGTCCAAGTTTACCGACAAGTTCAGAGGAGAGAGATTGAATCATTGATTGGTTTACTTGGGCTTCA